TTCCTTCCTTCCTTCCTTCCTTCCTTCCTTCCTTCCTTCCTTCCTTCCTTCCTTTCTTTCTTTCTTTTTCTTCCTTCCTTCCATCCTGAGGGTTGTAGCTCTTTCTTATCCAGGTACTATCGGTAGCCCTCAGCAGAGGGCAGGAGCTGAACGAATAAATGAATAAACATCCAGGGAGGATGGTGAGGGAGTAGTTGCAGGGATGGTTGTACCCTCAAGCACACAAAGTAGATGACCACATATTCTTCTTTTTGTCCCATGGATTCCTATTCCCCATCCCTAAAAATAACCCTCCAGGGTGCTTTAGTTGAATGAGTGGTAAATATTCTACCAGCTCTGCAGCGGTGTTGGCAGGCTTTTTTCTATATGCATTTTTTATTGATATAAAATTCACCATTTTAAAGTGTACAATTCAGTGGTTTTGAGTATATTCACAATATTGTGCAATCATCACTAACTACTACCTAATTCCAGAACATTTGCATAACTCCTAAAAGAAACCCCATACTCAGTACCTCTCCTCATTACCTCTCTCCCACCCCTTGACAATCTCTACAGATTTGCCTATTCTGGACATTTCACATAAGTGGAATTATACAATATATGGCCTTTTATGATGGGCTTCTTTCACTTAGCTTAGTGTTTTCAAGGTCATCCATGTTGCAGCCTATATCAGCACTTCATTCTTTTGTATGACCAAATAATATTCCATTGTATGGAATATGCCATATTTTATTTGTCCATTCATCAGTTGATGGACATTTGGGTTATTTCCAGCTTTTGGTTATTGTGATTATATGAACATTTATGTACAAATATTTTCTTAAGTATCTGCATTCAATTTTTCTGGGCTATTCCTAAGAGTGAAATTGCTTGATCATATGGTCATTCCGTTTAACTTTGTGAGGAGCTGAGAAACTGTTTTCTACAGTGGCTGACCCATTTTACATTTCAACCAGTAATGTATGAGAGTTTCAGTTGCTCCACACCCTCGCACCATTTTCTGTTTGTTTGTTTTGTTTTGTTTTGTTTTTATGTCCATCCTATGATTGTAAAGTTTTATCCTCTTGCGGATTTCCTAATGACTAATAACGCTGAGGATCTTTTGCTATGCTTCTTGGCCATTTATCTATCTTCTTTGGAGAAATGTCTGTTCAGATTGTTTACCCATTTTTTTTTTTTAGCTGAGCCATCCTGCCACCTGTTGGCAGCTTAGCGGCTGCTCAGCTCAGGCCAGGACTTGAACCACTGTTGCTCAGAGCTCAAACTCTTGAGCGAGCTCTTAACCAACTGAGCCACTCAGCCGGCCCTTGTTTACCCATTTTTTAATTGGGTTGTTTGTCTTTTTGTTGTTGAGTTATTAGGGGTTCTTTATATTTTCTGCATATTAGGCCCTTGTCATATCTGTGATTTGCAAATATTTTCTACCATTCCATGGACTGTCTTTTCACTTTCTTTTGATGTCCCCAAATTTTTAATTTGATGAAGTCCAATTGGTCAGCCTACTTTTAAAGACACATTTAAATAAAACATTTTATTGTGGAAATTTCCAAACATACATAGAGGAGAGCACGGTATAATGAACCCCCCTGAACTTGTCATGAAGCNAAATAAAACTATCATAGTTTCATTTATAAAAATTTTAAAGGATATTATTCACATAATGATTGTGTAAAAATATATTTATGGCTCTCGAATAATTTTTGAATTGTTGTGAGGGACAGGATTGGCTCTTCCAGGGGTCGGCAAACTTTTGAGACGGATGTGGCTCGCGAGCTGCAGTTTGCTGACCACTGCTCTAAGGTTTTGCAGATTGGCCAGGTGAGAGGAAGTTACCCTGTGAACCGTGCCCTGCATCTTCCTTCTCAGATGCCTGCTGCACGCCTCCATCAGCAGCACTGCCCGGGATCCCTAGGGAACATGGTTCTAGTGAGCCGTGTCCTCTTCATGTTCATTGCTCTCAGAGCTACATCAACACACAAATACACCTCACCCCCCACACACACACACACATGCACATCCAGACAGCCTGAATATGGGGAGGGGAGTCCCAGAGTCATGGTGCTGGCATTCGCCTGCCCATCCCTGACCCTAGCAGGCTCTACTGCCTCTGTCCCCACCAGCCAGCACCCACAGTGCAGCCATGCCTGGAGCTAGGCACCTAAACATGGAACCTGACCCCTACATTTGTATATATTACAGGCTGGGTCTCAGATGGATGTGTGGGTCCTCACACAGTGAGGCCTGCCCACCACATCCCCATAGTCATGTTTATAGGCCCTTTATTGTGCACCAGACACTGTGCTGGGCTCTTAGAGACGTTTTTGCAATTTACCTCCAAATTGGAATGTGTAGTTCGTTAACAATATTTCGATTTTACAGGCAAGCAAACAGCACAGAAAGGTGAAGAAATTGGCCCCTAATCATAAAGCTTTGTAAGTGGCAGAGCCAAGATTTGAAACCAGCAGTCTGGCTCTAGATCCCATTCTCAAAACTATATTTATTCTGACCTATTTATCCTGAGGATTTCATGGTGCAAATTTGTACTGTGGACTCTACAGCTTTTCTCCCCATGCTGGTTAGAGGTGACTTTCCAGCCTCACCTCTTTTATCAGGAAACAATGAGCACTGAGAAGAGCCTTCTGGAACTCCCAGGAGAGATCCTGTCAGCTACGTGAAGAGGAAGGGGCCACCGGATCTATCGTGTTTAGTGCTGAGGTGGGAATGGTGTGGAAGGGCAGAGTGTTACGGAGCCTTCGGAGGCCCCAGCTGAGGACGAGGGCACCTTAGGAGGCAGAGAGCACAGAATGGGTGGGCAGCTGTGGCTTCAAATCCTGGTCCTGCCACTTTAGCAGAGTGACCTTGAGGAAGTGATTTCACAGCTCTGATCCTGAGTTTTCTGTCTATAAAGTGGGGACATTAACATGAATCTTACAGCATTGTGTTGACAATGAAAGGGAAATAAAGTTTGCAAAATGTGTAGCCCAGTGAGGGTATATAGTGAGCTTTAAAAGAAGATTGGTTTCCTAAATTCTAGTGTTTTTAAGTGGTACAAGTACCAAGGTGTCAGGTCTTGGAGTTGCTGCCCAAATACCAGCAATTGCTTGAGAGTGGATCCTGCCCAGGGAACTCACTGCTGCCTAACAGGGGTCTGCACTTAGAGCTTTTTAAGCCCCAGTTAGGGCATTTCTTTAGGTTACTATCAGTTGACACCTTTTGGGAAATTACTTAGCAGAAGCTGAGATCAAAGAACTCAGGTGACACTAGAGATAGATACCAGACTGGAGAAGAGGGCATTAAGATAGGAGAGTCTTTTACACCTACTATACTGGTGATCTTTAAATACTAGAACATTTCAGTTTTGGTGAGGTTGTGGTGAAATTGGCACAAGCCTGTGCTCTTGGTGACATTTGTAGAGGCAGCCTATAAAATGACCCCCACCGATCCTTGCTTCTGTATTCTTGGCCTAGTGTCATCCTCTCCCTTACTCCCCTTGGTTCGAAACAATGGACTATGACAACACTAAGGGGATGTCACTTCTGTGATTAAGTTACAAAAGATTGTGACTTCTGTCTTGCTAGCAGAATGTTATCTTCTTGGACACATGCTTTGATGAAGCAAGTTGCTCTGTTGGAGAGGCCCACGGGGCAAGGAACAAAGGGCGGCCTCTGACCAACATCTGGCTAAGAATTGAGGTCATTGGTCCAACAACCCATGAGGAATTGCATCCTGACAACAATCTCGTGAACGTGAAAGAGAATCCTTACCCAGTGGAGCTTTAAAATGATACCCCAGCCTCAGCGACACCTTCATCACAGCCTGTGACACACCCTGAAGCAGAGGATACAAGTAAGTCATGCCTGGATCTCTGACCCACAGAAACAGTGGGACAATAAATGTGTGTTGTATTAAGCCACTTAGTTTTATGGTAATTTTTTTATGCAGCAGTAGATAACTAATACACATTCCTAATTGCCATGATGTTTTTAGAAAGCAATCTGGTAAAACTTGATACAGTCATAAAATTATTTTTTGATCTAAATATATCATATATGTGATACATATATATAGACTAATCTATATATATGAATAATTATGTGAATAATCATTTGAATAATGGAAATGTTGAACAGTAATGACTTAGGAAATTGTGGTACATCCATTATTTTGAATATTGTTCAGTAACTCAAAAGTATAATTATGAAGATTATGGCAGAAATGTGGAAATATTCATTATAAACATCAAACCTTTAAAAAAATATGAAGTGCTACTTGCATGATGATTGCAATAATGTAAACATGGTAAGACCTGGAAGAAAATTCACACGTTGAAAGTAATTCTGTTATGGTGGAATTTTGAATGACTTTATTTTTTCAATATATAAAAGGACTTACCACTATATACATTTATATATATGTACGAAGGATCACTTGGGAGGGGTCCATGGACCCTCTCTCCATGCATCAAGGTGACAGATTCTGGCATCACTGTTTTTGGCCCTGTCTCCTTGGGGTGTGGCCAACCTTCTGTGTGTCAGTCACTGTGGCGGTCATGAAAATGTGCTGCTCGAATCTGCTGTGGGAACAGAACTGACTGACAGCCCCAGCTGTTGTTTCTCTAGACCCACCACCACGTTTTCCCCAAGGCCATGCTTTCTGCAGGCTGCTTTCAGCCAAGGACTGGTCATGGTGGCAGTACTAACACAGGCAGAACTCCTCCAGTGAGTGACTAAGGCTCGATGACTCTCCAGTGGCCTGGGCAGATCTTTCTAGAACTGCTCTGAAGTCTGAGACCCTTCCTATCTAACCCTCCTTTCTCCCATCTCTCCTTCACAGTTGTCAGACCTGCATCATGGTATGAAGGTTCCCCCACTTTCTTCTGTTCCCTCCCCCTTTGTCCTTCACAGGCATTTCCCCCAACACATCTCTTACTCCCATAGTCCTGTCTCGGTGTCTGTTTCTGAGAGGACCTGAACTAACACGGTTACTCCCTCTCCCAATCAGGTGCAGTGTGAGGTCCTGAGGACACACCCCTGTCCTCACGGGGCTTGCAGTCCTGCAGAAGAGACTGACAAGTAAACCTGCCATTTACATTCACTTTATTTCTTACCATTTTGGGTGGGACGTTTGAGATGTTTATCAAAGTGAAATTAGTTTTTGACAGTGTAAATATACTTTTGACAATGTAAATTAACACCAGACTTACTTGAAGTTGTATGAGTGAGACCTCTCTCTTTTGCTGAAAAGTGACTGAAACCCATGTCAAACTAGCTTAGGCCAAAAGGATCTGTGTTGGAAGGCTCATATATTAATAGTTCTGAAATGGCCAGGGCACCAAGCCTCACAGAAAAGGAATCAGAGATTCAAACGCCACCTGCAGTCTTCTTTCATCTCTTACCTGTTTCTGTTGCACCAGCTTTCTTCCAGGGAATTATACCACAAACAAATCGAATGTCCCACCTCTTGGTTTGTATTAGAGTAAGAGTAAGCCTCCGACTAGCCAGCCGAGGGGCTCAGTTGGTTAAGAGTGAGAGCACTGAGCAACAGGGTCGCCAGTTCAATTCCCACATGGGCCAGTGAGCTGTGCTGAGCTGAGCTGCCACTGAGATGGTGAGAGCATGTGCTCTTAGCAGCAGGGTTGGCTGTTCAACTCCCGCATGGGATGGTGGGCTGCGCCCACCCACGACTAGATTGAACACGGCACCTCGCTGCTGCTGACAGGCGGCCGATGGCTCAGTGTGCAGCAAGGTTGCTGGTTCAACTCGCGCATGGGATGGTGGACTACGTCTACCCACAACTAAGATTGAAAGTGGCAACTGGACTTGGAGCTAAGCTTGTGCCCTCCACAACTAAGATTGAAGGACAACAACTTGACTTGGAACTGATGGGTCCCAGAAAAACACAATGTTTCCCTTCCCCAATTCCCCAACACTGTTCTCCTCTTCAACTCCCCAATAAAAGAAAAAGAAATGCAGCAAGCAAAATGTATAAACAGCATGACTAGAAACACTTAAAAAAAAAAAAAAAAGAGTAAACCTCTTTGCCCAGCTCTGCTTTTTCAAACCATAAGGAAGGGTTCTTATTGGCTGGACTTAGGTCATGTGCTATGTCAGAACCAAAATGGTGTGTTTCAGTCAGCTCTACTTGACATGGTTACTCATCTCTCTAGTTCAATTAAGTATGGCCAGGAGTTGGGACTCCCCACAAGATCTATTTGTGGTAGGAAAATGGATATTTTCCAGAAGAAAGACGCGATTCTGGGTCAACAAAACTAGAGATATTCACACCGAACATCCAATTCTTTTCTTAATAACAAAGACTATTAAAGCCAATAAAAAACAAAACAAAACCCTGCAGCGACAACACAGTGAGATCAGTGCAGTGAAGGTGTGTGAGGGACAGGTTGATGGGAACACAGGGGAAGGACATCTAACCATCTTGGGATGGGAGGCGGGCAGAAAGGACTTCCCAGAAGAGGGGACCCTGGTGCTGAAACCCCTAAATCTGAGTTGAAAAAAGCTAATAATATCAAAGACTGATCTAACAGTGACATTTCAAACCCTTTACGTATTAATTTATGCAATTCCCACAACAATCTTCTTATGCCCATTTTACAGGTGGGAAGATCAAGGCATAGAGAGATCAAGTGCTTTACCACCAGCCAGTGCTAGACTTGGGATTGGAGCCAGGCAGCCTGTCTCTAACATTTGTGCTCTTCACCACTACACCATGTTAGCCAGGTGAAACAGGCTATGGGAATAGCCTGTATAAAAGCCAGAAATGGGATAGTTTTGTTGTTTTGTATCAGTCAGGGCCCAACCAGGAGACTGAAACCACACAGCAATTTGAACAAGGGAAGTTTGATATGAAGAATTATTATTCTATAGGGAATTTTTATTGTGACAGGGGATTGGAGTTATGAAGGATTAGTTTGTAAGAACTCTCGAGAACTCTAGGATCACATAAGAAGCAGCCACTGCCCCTGCCCAGGCTGAGATCCAGACCTCATTGGTGAAGATGCCAGCATGGCTCATGGTGCTTGGGAAGTTGCTCAGTTCGGTGCCACACTGGCAGAACTTGCTGGAAATCCCCACTTTGGGGTAACAGGGAAGCCAGCCACAGCAGGTGATCCACTTCAGGACTTGATACCAAGCCATTTGAGGGAATGCTGGGGTCCATGGGGAGGGGCCTCAACAGTAGCACTGCTGAAAAGCCACTGAAAGGATGCCAGGGCGGATGCCAGGGCAGGGAACGCTGCAGGATCCCAACATCGGGGAGGCTGCACTCCGGAGGAGCCCACTGTTGGAGAAACTGACCTGCAAGAGCCTGGCAAGAGGAGGACCCTGCAACCAGGAGGAGAAAAATCCAGCCCTGCTCCAGTGTCCCTCTAGCGCCCTCTACTGACAAGATTCAACATTGAGCCAGCTGGGGAGAAATGTTTAGAGGGTCTGTCTCCATTTTCTGAAAGCAGGCAATGAAGGGTAGATTTGGAATTGAGAGGCAAGAAATGAATAACGGTTCCACTTGCCAAAGAACAAAACCCAGCATGCTGGCATCGAGTGCAAGGGAAGTTGTGGGTAGAGATGAAGCTGAGCAGCCTGGCAGGGACCAGGGTACACAGTGCCTTGTGGGCCGTGGTGAGATGTTCAGACTTTATTGTAACTGCAGTGCAGGCCTCTGAGAATGTCATGGCAAGAGAAGGACATGGTTAGGTTTGGATTTTACAAAGTGACCCCAGTGGGTACAATGGGTTGAGGGGGGCAGAGTGACCAGTTTGGAGGGGGAGGGGGACGTTGTAGTCACATAGGAGATGATGATAGCCTGAACTGGTGGCAATGACGATGGAAAGAAGCAGGACTCAGGCTACCCTTAGGAGGTTGCATTGGTGGAATTTGGTGGTGGACTGGCTCTGAGGGTATGGGAGAGGAATGTCAGAGGTGACTGTCAGGAATGTCACCTGGGTTTAGGCTTGGCAGTGGGTGTCTGGGGTGTACCCTCTGCCCCTTCCTCTCCCTGCTGTGGAGCTCACAGGCCCTAAGCCTATTCTCTGTCTCCTGGGACATCCCTCCTCTCTATTGATTATGCTCCTTAGAAAGACAAGTGTTGTTGTTGATGATAATGACTGAAGACCTTTAACTCACTGGGATGCTTGAGAGCTCCCAGACTGAGGCAGAATGAGTAAGGAGGACTGAAAAATGATCTTCAAAGCGTCCACAGGTTGTTCCGAGCAAAGGCTAACGGAGGTGAGTCCTGGTGTCCCCCGGCGGGATCCTGCCTGCTCTTTCCTCAGGTGCACCTTTCCTCCTCCTGCTCTGTTCTGCAACCTCTGCTCAGCCAGCTGCACTGAACCCTAGCAGGCCTGGGGGCACAAGCTCATCTTTGCACTGCCTGGAGCCACTCGGCTCAATGCCCCCCTGGCTCTGGACTTCTTCCAGTCTTGCCCCCTGGAGCCTTTGTTCCCCAGAGGGCCTTGTTCCCTGCTACAAGTCAAGGGCAAATCGTATCAACGGATCCAGGCTCGTGTTCTCACCCACCTCTATCCTCCCCCTCCCCCACCTGCCGCTCAAGATGGTTGCGAGCATAGGTTGCTGCTCCCCTGCACTGCAGACATGGGGAAGGGCTGGAGGGCGCTTAGCTGGGGTCCAGGCAGAGGAACAAATGAACCAGAGTCCACATGGAGAGAGGGAAGTGGACAGGCATCCACACACCACACGGACGGCGGTGTCACTGCTTTGGCGGTGTCACTGCTTTATAATCAGACCCTCTGATTACATTATAGATTTACTGTTGTCATCAAACAAGACCTGCCCGAGTCTGACACCTGGACACTGTGTGGCTCCATAGCCATGGACAGTTCACAGCCTGGCCGTATTTCCGCTTGCTTTCACACAGCAGTCAGGTAGACCTTATCTGATCACCGGCTCGGTTTTCCAAGACCTAAAGTCAATGTCAGTATTAAATTTTCCCAGCGCCATCCACATGTGAAAAGATGAAGGTCCTAGCCCTTTTTCCCACAGAGGGACTCCCTCACTTTCCTGGGTCCCTGAGCATAAGCTAGCTTCAGAGCTACACACGGGAGGCCGCTGCTGGCTCCCACTGCTCATGAGTGGCCCTGCAGGCCTAGAACATGTGTCTTTGTCAATTTGCTGAGACAGGAAAGAAGTGGAAGCAGGGTCCTAGGAGACTGGTATCCACTGGGGAGCCCTTGGCCAGGGGCCAAATCTGTGCCGTTCCAGGAAGCCTTTGACCTCAGAACCAGACGCCTGGGTTAAGATCCTGGCTCTGCAGCTTACTACTCTGGGCACGTTACTTACTCTCTTGTACCTCAGTTTCCCCATCTGTAAATGGAAATAGTGACAAAGCCCTCTCCTGGGGTGGTTTTCAGAGTTTAGTAAGTTGATATTTGTAAAGCACTTTGAACAGTGCCTGGCACAGAGATACAGCTTGAGGAAGTTGGGTATATTTTCATTCCCCAAGGCACACTGGTTGGGAAGTGGCCTCATGTGGCCCCTATGGAAACGGCTCAGGCGATTGTGATGTAAGCCAGGGTTGGCAGTACTGCCCTCCACAGCATTCTCAACCCCCCTGGCAGAGTCTTCTTCATGTGTCTGACTCCCCCACTAGTTTGGGACCTCTCTAAGGCAGCAACAAGGCCATCCCCACCCTCTTATTTCCAGTATCTGACAGAATCAGCTTTCAGAAAGTGTTTGCAAACTACATAGCTGAGTTGTGCTGGGTTGGAGAAGCTTGACACGTGGGCAGACTCCAGAGGCGCTAGCCTGTGAAGGCCAGCTCAGCCTACATTTCGCAGGGGCCCACGGGGGTGAGGCTGCTGTGGCCAGGCCCCTGAACCCCAGTCTTGTCCCCTATGGATAAGGCACCTCAAAAGAGTCCCCCAGTGCCTCTGACATTGCTCCCAGCAGCAGCTGAAGGCTGCCCTGAGGCAGATGTTTCCAGGTCCAGACCAGCCTGATGGCGCGTTGATTGTACTGTGCTGGTCCCTTGGGAGGAAAGGTGTCCCAGCGTTGAGGTTTGGACTCAGCCCCCGCAGAGAAGGCATGTCAGACATCCTCCCTGTGCTTCAGAGAAGCACAGGCTCTCAGGGACCCCTCAGAAGTCGGGCCACAGCTACGCCGCCCTGGCCCTATCGGGGCCTCTTTCTGACTGCAGACCCATAGCTTCCTCCATTTCCTAATTCCCGTTGGACTCATTTTGGATCCTGCACCTAAGGCACTCCCTGCCAGCCAAATGAATGTCAGCAGCCATCTGTTGCCCAAGCCAGTGGCAGCTGTTGGGCAAATGCTTGCATACATCTGAATTGATTTTGTTTTGCCTTTTGATAAGATCTTCAGTTGAGCAAAAGGAGATTTGCTAAATTATTCAGCGTTTACAGTAACCCGGTAACCTGAGGCAGGCAGAACTGACAGGCCAGGGAAAGGGCAGAGCAAAAAGCCTGGAGACAATGAAGGAGGCCCAGCAAGCAGCATGCCCTGTGGCCTTAGGAGCAAGCCACTGTGGTGGTGTAGCCGCAGGCTCACGGCCCCTAGAGACAGTACTGGGCCCATGACCCCCTGACTGGGCTGACGCTGGGCTGGTCCTCAGCAGAGGGGGCAGAGTTGGCCTTTGGTGATCACCGAGATGGGCTGAGCTCTCATGTGTACCCAGTATTTCCCTAGGCCCTTGCAGGGAGTCTTGACCTCGGCCTGTTCTGCCCTGTCCCATGTGGAACTCCCTCCACAGAACAACACCACGGCTCCCACGTAGGGAACAGCTCCTTTGTGCCAGGCTGTTTCCTTACATTATCTCATTTAATTGCCAAAAACTCGTTAAAGAAAGGCAAGTATTAGTCCCTTGGTCCATATGGGAAGCAGAGGCTCAGAGAGGTTAAGTAACTTGCCTCACACAGCTGTTGTTGGTGGGGCCAGCATGAGACCTCTGGAGCCGTAATTCGGAGCCAGTGCTGTTTCTTCTAGCAAGGCTGCGGCCTCACTGGGGAAGTAGGGATCACCCAGCGTTTCTATAATTGGGACAGCAGCACCTTTTTGTGAAGTGACAAAGCCTCCTGGAGACCCCAGGGAGCCCCACTTTCCTGCTGGGGCGTTCTTGGTGAACACATAGGGCCCCCAGGAGCCCCAACTAGAGCATTTCAGTCACTGAGTCACTGCTTTGTCATACAGAGATATGATAAAGGTCTTGCTTCTGAAAGTTGAATTCCTCAGAAAACTTCCTCTAAGGAGAGAAAAATGGAGAGTGACATTATGTCAGCTTTCGGAAAAGGAAGCTTCTGAACCACTTGGGGCACTTGTTACATGCAGATTCCCAGGCCAACTTAAGAACTACTGAATTAGACCATGTGTGGGCAAGACCCAGGAAGCTGCATTGTTCACAAGCTTCTCCCTGATGTGATTTGTGTGCACCCTAAAGTCTGAGAATCGCTGCTTTTGGATAAGCTAACATTTAGGTTAGTGTTCTTTAAATGCCTAAGGAGTAGAGCATCTCAAATCCATGCAGCCCTTTCTGAGAGAAAAGGCTTCGGCCATATTTGAAGCAAAGGTGCCCTGCAGGAACCACGTGGCCCACCCATGTGACCCCTGCCCACCAATGGAAGCTTTGAAGAACACACACACACACAGAGAAATACATCACGCCCCAGGCAGCATTTGGAAGTCCAGCCCAAATAAGGGTGATATAATTCCCTGGCCCCATCACATTCTCTCTCACGTAGTTAAACCAGAGGTGCAGGGAAAGAGTTGGTCATCCATAGTGGGGCCTGAAAAGCCTTGAGACCCTAAGAGACTAGCAGGGATGGAGTCCATGCTGTGAGTGGGTTATGCTCTTCGCCACCTGTGTGAACCTTGCAGTGGACCAGGTTCTGTTCTCAACTACTCCCGCCCCCTTTGAAGGTGGCCACATGACCTGCTCGGGCCATTGGATTTGATGGGTGGTAGGGGTCATTTCCACGTGAAAGCATTTGAGAGCCAGGCGTCTCCATCTTCTCTTTCCCCAGTGGGCCTCCAGATGTTGGGTCCCGAAGCGGGGATGGTGTGGAGCAGAGACCTGTCAACCCATGATGGATATGTCTTGAGATTGAAAATAAATCTTTGTGGGTTTAAGGCACAGATTTGGGGTTGTTTGTGACCACCGAGTTATGTCCCCCCTTCTGCTATTCCACACTTTAGAGCCAAACCACCATAAGGGTTAAACTCTGCTTGGACAATTCATGTAATCTGAGCATTGAACTAGGAGTGGCTCATTAACAGGAGGTGAGAAGCTGCTCACTGGAAGCAATCCTGCAGACTCTTAATGCTCAGGCCTTCACAGCATGATGTCAGCTGATGCCGCAAAGCCTTGCAGAAAAACAAACACCAAGAAATGATGGTGCAACACAGAGCTACTAAAAGTGCCTTGTTTATGGGTGGATGAGAGTGTCTTTGTGTCTTTCTTCTTTTTTCTCCATTAAAAGAGCTCAATTAAGGTGACAGTCCTGGAATGTGAACAAAACACGACTGGGAAAACTCCATTTCTCAACTTTCTGTTCCCCCACCCCCACTCTTCACACTCATCTCTTTTAAAAGCTGAAAGCAATGCACAAATGTAAGGAGCTGTGTTCATTCTTGCGGTTACAAGCCCCCCTCTGTTCCCATAGCAGCTTGGCACGCTCTGCGGTGCACTTCTCACACGCATTTTGTCTGGTTCCTTGTCAGCCTCTCCCAACTGGGCTGTGAATATCTGGCGGGCAGGACGGGCCTCCCTCTTTGCATCTCCACCACCTGGCTGAGCACCTGTCTGCTCTAGGTGAGGGGGGAGGGCAGAGTGAGAGCAGAGGCCAGCAGGAAGCACCAGGGGAGGAGGACACCCTGTGGGCCTGAGAGCAACCCACTCCAAAAGCACTGAGCACCCACTGTGTACAGTCAGAGTGCAAGGCGCTGGGCAAGAGTCCAGATGCATTAATCAGTTTACGAACACTTACATATATGTTATTCTTTGAACCTCACAACACTGTAGTGAGGTAAATAGTGGTTAAAAGAGAGTGGGTTTGCAGAGTTTACATGAGATGTAGAAAAAGGGGAGTGGACGTGGGCCATGTACCTTGCTCTGAGTCCTGGCTTTGCCCCCAACATGCATGTGGTGGTGGGAAGCTTCAGCATCTGGCTTATAAAGGGGGAGATGGGGGGGGGGGAGCTGGCTGTGCAGCCCCACCCTTCTCACCATGCCCCGCCTGGCCTGAAACCCACGACTGCTTGATTGGCCACCAAACGAGGTGTGCAGCTTCCATGAGACTCAGGCCTGGGGGACAGGTGCGACCAGGGAGAAGCCTAAACAACCACTTCTCTGTGTCCACAGAGCATCCTACACGGGAACCAGCCAAGGAGACATGCAGTGAGTAAATGCATGAGCGAGGAATGGGCAGCCTGGATGGGGCAGTGGGCAGAAATCCCAGCTGTTCAAGAGCACATGGGCAGAGATTAGTGCCCCGAGATTAAATCTGACCCGAGGGGCCATGCCCTGGGAAGGGTGTGGCTGGGCGGACAGCTGCTGAGGTCACTGTTGAGAGCCCTGGACTGGTAGTGTTGTCCCTGACTTCATGGTGACCACCTGGTGGGTGGGCGGGGAGTGGTGGTGGGCAGCTTGACATATAACTGCCACACCATTACTTCATGCATCAGCACACATTTATTGAGCACCTACTATTATACCAGGCTGTGTTCTAGACTGTGGAAACAGCAATGATAAAAACCCCTGCCTTTATGTTCTCATGAGGGACACAGCCAATAAACAAAGAATAAGTAATTACAGAGCATATGAGACGACATAAGAGCTGCGGGTAGGACAAGAGATCGGAAGTGCAGGGTTGGGGAAACGGGTGCTTTCCTAAGGAGGGTGACCAGGAAGGCCTACGGTGAGAAGGCGGCCTTGGAGCAAAGACCTGAACAAAGGGAGGGAGGGAGCCAAGAGGAAATCTGGGGAAAGAGCATTCCCGGCTGAGGGAAGGACGAGCAAAAGCTGAGGGGCAGGAGCGGTGCTGGCAGGTTTAAGGTTGGAGCAGGGGAGGGGTGGGGAGAGAAGCAGGAGAAGAAGTGAGAGAGGTGGGAAGGGGCTGGGTTCTGCAGGGTCTCATGAAGAGGGACTGTCTTCATCGGGAAACGTTTGTTTATTTTCACTCTGTGTTGCAATCCATGTGTCTCCGGCCTGGGAAGCAGCCTGCCTGGAGAGGACCACTCCTGGCTGCCTGTGGCAGACACAGGCTGGTGGGGACAGCTCAGTTGCCACTTGGCCTCCTCAGGAGCCCCCAAGATGGGGCCTCAAAAGTGCAGATCACACCCAGCTTGCCTTTGAGTGGTGCTGTCACAAAGCATGGAACCAAAGCTCTAACAGGACTGAGGGGTCAGATGTGCCTCTGCCTCAGCAGCATGTCACCTCACAGGCCTCTATTTACGATCCAGCTCCACCTCCAGGTATTTGCATGTGCCCTTCCCTCTGCCTGGAAGCGCCCAAGGCCCTTTGTGTCTGGCTCATTCAGGCCCCTTTTCCAGGAAACCTTCACCTTGCCCTTTCCTGTCAGTGCTGCTGCAACTCCCTCCTCTTCCCCTGTCAGCACCTGAATCACTCTGCCAGGTGATCTCCTGCTTGCTTTCTCCTCCTAACAGGTCAGTTTCAATCCCTTGAATGAGATCTCTAGAAATGATGGCAAAACAGCAAGGAGAAAGGAAGCTGGCTGTTGGGTTCCTAGTTCTGGTGACTGGACTCCGGGGTGGAGCAGAGCCAGGGGTGGAAGTGAAACAGCAGATGGGGACAGGAGGCCAGTATCCCCAGGCCATGGAAGGAGGGTGGGAAAGGGGGGAGCTGGATAAGGTGAGGGGAGTCTGCAGGCTTCCAAGGTGGCACATCATTGAGGTTTCCAGGTTACCTGTGCTGGGAGCCTGAGAGTTCCCGCGCACTGTCCCTGGCTTCTCCCGACATTTAAACCATAAACCATGCCTTGTCCGCCTCGGGAGAATGTGTATCTCCATATGGTAGGCAGGTATCTTGTGGGTCCTCTCACATCTATTCTCACTTAATCCTCACAAGAACACTGCAATGTGGAAATTCTTACCTTTGCTTTACAGAGGAAATGAGACAGGAAGGTTGGTTAAGTGCCTGCCCATGGTCACACCCACCAGTGGGCTAAGTTTCAAAGGGCAGTAACCACTGCAAAGACATGATTTCTTCTGTTTCCTCCTGCCTCCCAGGCTCGATAGGAGGACCTGTCCAGAGTAAAGCAGAAGCACCTTTCCGAGGTCTCACTGCACCTGCGAGTAAGTCTCCCAGCTCCTAGCCAAGTGCTCATTTCACTGAGGGCTGTTTCTCCTAGCAAATTTCTCTTCCTTTGTTTCTCTCTCGGCTTCTATTTCAGGAGTAGATTACCTCCTTGCTTTCTCTGGCGGTCTGAAGATCTTTACTGATGGCCTGCATTGCTTGAGGGGCTGTAGGCCAGGCCTGTGCTGGGAGCTCCAGGCTCATAGCCTCCCCTCTGCCTCTGAGAGGGCGAGTCCTGACTGACCTCCCTCCCTGAGGACAGGAGGACTGAGGACAGGTGAGGCAAGAATGAGTTCAGGAAGGTGTGGTGGCATGACATTGCTGAAACAGACTGTTTCTTCTCCATTCCCTCAGCCCTTTTTTCCTTTTTCCTTTCTTCTCCCCAATTAAACCAGTGTTCCTTGCCTCCTGGAAGAGGGAAAGAAGTATGAGAGCCGAAAGCAGAATAAGAGCAGCCACTTCCTGGCTTTTGTTTCTCCAAATCCCTCTCAGACCATTAGGGGAAGAGTCACTTGGGCAGGGACAAAAGATCTGGGAGGAAACCCCTGAGGAATGAGAACAAGGTTTCCTGCCAGGGCCATGATTCCCAGGCTGGTCAGAGGGGACCGGTTGGAGGACAGGAGGTGAAAGGTGGGGCCTGAGCCCTGCTTCCTGAGCTGAGCCCCTGGGGTGTGACGTGGGATGTGAGAGCAGAGGGGACCAGGCCCTCATCTCCCAGGGACCAGACATGGGAAGGGGAGAGGTTGAAAAGAACTGAGCCTCTTTGTTTCCTTAGCTGTTCTTTCAGAAAATCTGGTGCCTGCCCCTGTGAAATGACAGGGCCACAGAGGGGTTCCTAGGAATCCAAATGTAACCAGCGAAGGAGCAATCAGGAACACGGGGCCCCTAGGTGGGGACTTCCTGGCTGCTGCCCAGGAGCACTTCGACAGGTGCCTGAGGACAGACAACTAAGAGGCCCGGTGGCTGCCCACTTCCCCTATGTCTTGTCCCCTACATAAGCATTCCCTCTTCCCTCTGCCTCTCTCTAGGTCACAGCCTCAGGGAGAGGCCAGAGAGAAACCCTGAAAAAATTGAAATCAAGTTACTACGATTTCTTAGTGGAAATGGAGTTCAAAATAGAAATGTAAAAAATTAGAGCAAAATAAAATTACTTTTCTTGTTTGCCTGAGTCAAAGACCAACAAGAATGCTGCAGAAGCAGGGAAAAGAGGCAAATAGATTACACAGGGAAATTGAGAGTTGGTCTTGGAAGGCTTCCTGGAGGAGGTGAGGCTGAATAAAAAATCTGAAGGTTCTCAATAGGTATGCCAGTTTAAATTTCCACCGGTGTCTGAGAGACCCTGTTCTAACCAAGACAGTTCTCTACTCCAGGGTAGATGTTCTATCCAAACATCCCTCAGATGCTCAAAGCCCTGTGGGAACTTTTCAGAGGGGCTAGTCCCAGAGCCTGGGCACATACTAGTGACTATGCCCAAGGTGGCTGCTGTACAGGACTGCAGGAGCCCGGCTGGGCACTGTTTCTCGCAGATGCTGTGGCTGGCCAGCAGGGGGAGCAAGCTTGCCACAGCCCAAGGCCCAAGAAGCCCCAGGGAGAAGGGTGGGTGGAAGCTGAACATTTTTAGTTTCCTGGCATCTAATAGCCTTCTAGGGAGTGGGCACCTTTGTGAGCTTCAGACTCACCCCTGGGCGTCCATCCACCCTCCCTCAGTCCTGAGTTCAGCTCTGCATTTTCTGAAGAGCTGTTCTTTCAGGTGCCACCCAAGCCTTCTCCTGACTCGAAACTGGACTAAAAATGTTAAGACTTGATGGCCCAGGGATCCTGGGATGGCAGGGGAGTGGGGCTGAGTCTCTGGTGTTTCTCAGCTGGACTCTGCAAGCCTGTGAACTGTGGAGGGCCCTCCATGAACTGAGTCACTTAAAATGGCAGGCATAGAAGAATAATTATGGGCAAAGATGCCCATTGCACTAATTGAAAAGAGGCCAATGTATGTATCCTCTAATATTACTACTACTACTAATAATAATAATAATAAATTGTAAACCCACAAAATGATGAAATATTATTTAGCTATTAAGAACATTGTCTTCAAAGGATATTTAATGACATGGGATAGTGCCCATAATGTAATGTGCTAATTCTCCATTTGTCCATCCAGAGTCATTTTCCACTCTGCTCTGCATCCCAGGAAGTCGACCCCAGTTCACTACTTTATCCTGACTTCCTTGCCCTCTGGCTGCATTGGGTTCAGCCAATGGGAGACACCAGCAGGAGATGGAAGGGTGGGAGGAGGGAGAGGCCGGGATATGTCTTCACTCTCTCCTTGTCTCAGTATCTCTAGGACTACTGCTCCCTCTAAGCAGCCCCTCTCTAAAACTGCAGCCCCCTCTAAGCCTGTAGCTCTCTCTGAGCTCTGTTACTACGGCTTTCTCTCCTTGACCTTTTGGCCCTAAGGGTGGTAACAGTTTCCTGCTATGGCCAGCTCCTGGGGGCCTCAGCATCCTTTGTTGGCTCCTTCAACTTAACCACATCTCTGTAAATCATCCTTCACTAAATGGCTCTTCCTTTGAGCCATCAGCATGAATGCTGCTTCCTGCCAGGACTCTGACTGATAATACCTTAAGTGAAAGGAGAAGACTACAAAGCTTTGTATAGAAAAAAAGGCCCAACACATTATCTGCATTATTCCCCTGAACCCTCACAGCAATGCAGGGGAATGTAGTTGAGAGGAGTGTTAAAACCAGAATCAAATTTAGAAAGTGTTTGAAGGGATATTCTAACAATGTCTTTACCAAAGGGAAGAATATGCTGACAAAGGAAAGATGAAAAAGACACGTTCAACATTTATTTCACTTAAAAATCGCCATAAGTTACTACCAGATTCAATTTTTAATGCATAAATTTCAACTTTTAAGAATATGCTTCTGAGAAGAGGAGGAAGAGGCTGCTTCATAAAGTAGGCCGCATGAGCTCAGATGACCTGATTTTTCGCTATCCCAAATTCTGATCCAACTTAGAATGGGAGGAGGTGATTTAATTTCTTAGAAACTCAGCTCTTCCACTGTGTGACCTCAGTTTCTTAAATCTGCAAAATGATCATATCAATACAAGTGATGATTGATGAGTCTGTGTATGTAGTGTCTGGTCCTGTGCCCAGGTCCAGGTCATCATGGGAACTCAACAACTGTGACTTCCTCTTGTATCCTTTCAACCATGTCTAGAGTGGGAAAGTTACTGCTGTGGCTGCCTGGCACAGAAGAAATGAGGTATGAGAGACAAAATCTTCATATTGTGACCAATCTACCCTCCCTAGTTTAGGTCCTCAGACAACTCTTTGCAGCCTCCTCTCTTTCTTCAAAGGAACGTTATTCTCTATCCCATTATGTTAGCTTTTTCTTGCTGTGTAAAAAAATTCCACAAACTGAGTGCCTTAAAACAGCACACGTTTATTATCTCAGAGTTTCTTGGCACAGACTAGCTGGGTCCACTGCTCAGGGGTGGGAGGGAGAGGGGAATCACAAGCTGGTGCTGGTGGGGCTGCGTTCTTATCTGAAGGCTTGACTGGGGCTGGTCTCAGAGTCTGGTCACCTGCCTTTGACTCTCCTCAAGATCACACAGACTCATTCAGCTTGTTGACAGAATTCGTCTACTTAGATGTAGGACTAAGATCCTTGTTTTCTTGCTGGCTGTCAGCAAAAGCCCTTCTTACCTCCTGGAGGCTGCCCACAGTTTCTTGCCAAGTGGCCCTGTTACCGCATGACAGATTCCTTCTTCAAAGTCAGCATGGAAGAATCTCTCTCATTCCGCTCTGCCCAGAGTGTGTGTGTGTGTGTGTGTGTGTGTGTGTGTGTGTGTAACACACACATATGATCACTTTTGCCATAGACAGGCATACCTTGGAGATATTGGAGATTCAGTTTTGGATCGCTGCAATAAAACAAATATTGCAGCAAATCAAGTCACATGAGTTTTTGGGCTCCCCAATGCATATAAA